ACTTTTTAAAGGACCGGAGCCCCGAGGTTCCGGCTAGAAGAACCGGACCGGAGCCCCGATGTTCCGGCTGGAAGAACCGGACCGGAGCCCCGAGGTTCCGGCTGGAAGAACCGGACTGGAGCCGTTAAAGAGGAATTTCATGTTTCTAGATCCTTTCATTGAAGGGATTGATGGACCAGTTGGAACATCGGGGTCCAGAGAAGCAGCTCGGATCAGAACAGGTCTTTGAGCACAGCGCCCCCTTCCTGCAGCTCAGGCAGTCTCTGTGGAGGAACCAGAACGGTTGTGATTGTGCAGGATTCAGGCTCCAACACCAGCAGCTGGTTTGACGTAGAAGCTCTGAGCCAGTTTCTGCATCCTCTTGTTGCAGTGACCCTGCGGGACCACTGACCGAAATCCCCCATTCTCCTGTGCAACAATGGAGTCCAGTTCATCTTCCTCGCCCTTCAGATCCTCCTTTCTTTCAACATTTGGATGGAAGTACAGATAATAAACCACCTTACAAACCAACCCGACCGCATAAACCAAAACCACAACGCCGTAGATGATGGAAGCCGTGAAACATGAGATCTGGGAGTGAGGAGGATCCACGCTCATCCTCCAGAACCACAGCCCACAGAGGAGGGAGATATCAGCCAGGATGTAGGTGTGGTACGCTATGGTCCACTTCCTGGTCTTCCCTGCCCCCACGTTGAACCAGTCGAAGTACCATATGAGGCCCAGAGTGGCCCGGAACAGCTGCTCCCCCCCTGTGCTGTCCATGAAGTCCGTCTTTGCACGCCAGGCGCAGAAGAACAGCACCAGCCAGGAGCAGAGGAAGTGGGCGACGATGAAGCAGGGCAGCACGGAGGCGAAGAGGGCGAGGGCGACGATGCGAGGCCACAGGAGGAGCAGGTTCCACACGAAGTAGACCACGGAAGAGATGATGCTCTGCTTCTTTTTCTCTGGTAGGAAGGAGCGCATGCAGCGGTGGTACATGGTGACGCAATAGGCAACGGCCAGCAGCGAGGCGATGGTCTTCAGTACTGAGGAGGAGAGAGAGACAGGAGGAAGTTCAGAGATCATCAGAAACTGATGCAGAAAGGGACGGAAGCAGGAAGGCAGCCGTGGAGAAGGGAAGGTTTGGTCGGAGGCCGAGCCCTGCCTCAGTGGAATAAAAGGTGCTGGGTTCTACATGAGGTCTAACAATGAGGTCCAACTATGAGGTCTAACTATGAGGTCTATGAATGATGTCTATATATGAGGTTTAACTATGAGGTCTAACAATGAAATGTAACAATGAGGTCTAACTATGAGGTCTAACTATGAGGTCTATGAATGTCTAACTATGAGGTCTAACTATTAGGTCTAACTATGAGTTCTAACAATAAGGTCTAACTATGAGGTATAATAATAAGGTCTAACTATGAGGTCTATGAATGATGTCTATCTATGAGGTCTAACAATGAGGTGTAACAATGAGGTCTAACTATGAGGTCTATC